GGTTGATCGATTTTGTCCATCCCTCCGGGTTTAAGTTGAACCCTCTCAGAAGTAGGCCTGGGATACTTGGCTGCAATCCAGAAAGACCCAGGAGTGGAGCATGACCTTTGGACCCTGAGATCTGCACACTTAACAACTACTATCTCAATCCAGGAGACAGAGAACTGTGACATCGGAGACAGCAAGAGATGGCAGAGAAGTGCTGGCAGCAGAGGCGGCAGCCCCAAGAACACCAGTGGTGGTTCTTGGCCCAGGTAGCGAGAAAGGTGTGTGGCAGACTGGGAGCCCTGGTGGTGCAGTGACTACACGTTGGGTGCCATGTGTACGCTCGGAAGTTCGAAACCACCAGCAGCTCCTCGGGAGAAAGATTGGGCTTTCTACTCCTGTCAACAGTCACAGCGTCGGGAACCCACAGGGCGCCACTGAGTCAGCATCGGCTCGATGGCAGTGAGCCTGGTTTTGGTTGGTGTCTCTATGAGCACTTATTGGTAGTACTGTTTGGTTAACCTTGCCCGAGCGGCAAAGACCATGGGGCTGTGAGGCTGAGAACCAGAAAGTGTTGGTGGACACGGCCTAGAGGAGGCTGCTCTGACCCAAGAACTGTATCCTGGACATTTCTGATCCTGAACTGTAACTTCCCTAATAAGCCACATAATTGTGAGTACTGCCTGTGAGTTCTGTGTGGCAATGAATTACCGTCGCCAACAGAGAGGGAGGGAGTATGCCTTGGAAGGGATCGCTGGTGCAGAATTGGCAAAGGAGGTTACTCGGTAGAGGCATATCTGACCTCTGTCTCATCAGCCTTGGGATGCTGTTGAATTTGGTTCTCCTCCCCTCTTGAGAAGTTAGAAGAGGGGAGACGTGGCACCACCCCATGCCCCTCTTACAGCCATTAGCACTCAAAGAGAAGCCGAGCGACACTACTACCTGCATGGCCCGGCTGCCTTGCCACTGTGAGCGCTGCAGCCCCTTCTCCCGGTGCCCTCTCCTGCCCACCCCGCTCCACTGGGCTGGCCCCTGTTGTTCTGGAATTTGTGTGCTGCTCAGGGCACACTTCCACCCTGGTGTTTGCCCTGCTTGCTGACTGGGACGCACTTTCCAGATCATCTGTGTAGCGATGCCCTCACCCTCTCTGGGCCTCCACTCAAACATCACATCTTTGTGAGGCCTTGCTTGAACCCCCCAGCTACAAGGGCATCATCCCAAGAACTGCCGGCCCCCTTCCTGGCTCTTCTTTCATCTCCTTGACACACCGCCTTCTAACACACACACACTTTCCTTATTGTCTGTTCTCCGCACCGAGACAGTTCAAAGACTGAGGTCTTTACCCAGCACTTAAGAACATAGGACGGTGTGTCACATATAACAGGCACTGAATAGACATGTTACATGAATCAGTGAGTGAGATCAGCTGAGAAAGGGGTCTGGTGGGATGGAGAGACGATCCACGCAGAGAGAAATGGGGTGAGGGGGTGATTAGCAGTTGGAATTGACTCTAGAGCAGTGAGTTTGGAGTTGTTCGTCCAGGAAGCCAGAGAGTAATCGGGAAAGAATGTGGACAAAGAGAGAAGGAGAAATACAAGTATGAACGATCATACTAACAATAGTACTGGTGACGCTTGCTACTCAGGCACAATGATCCTGGGTACTCTTCTAGCCCTCCATACCAATCCATTTAATCCTCACAAAAATCCTAGGAGGCAGGTCCTAGTACCACCCTCCCCATTTCGCAGAGAAGGAAAGGGTGCTTAGAATGTGAAGCCACTCATTAGTAAGGAAAAGGAGTCAAA